AGGCCGACTTGTTGGTAATATTCCTCCTACACTGGCTACTCACATGTCCTTGCTCTCCACAGTTCCAACAACCTTTCTGGGTAGCAGCCTTTCCGGTCATGGCATCTTCCCTGTGTTGAAGTTTCCAGCATTGAGCTCTCTTGTGCCCACGTTTTGTTACAGTGCCAGCAAAGTCCCTCAAACTTCTCTGAAAGCTGACCTTTTCTGGCCTTGAATCCAGATGACTGTACCAACCTTGGTACCTCTGTGCTGGACCTAACGTAGGATTCAAATTCAAGAGCCCTGGCCATTGCATCCTGCATAGTAGAGGGGTGTGCTTGCTTCACTTGTATCTTCAGCTGTGGACTGTCCAAGGCATCTACGAACTGATCCCTCAGCAACAACTTGAGGAGATCGGGTGGTGCAGTTGGGTAGGCCTTGTGTGCCATACTTTCCAAGTCCTGTGCCAGTTCTTGCAGGCTCTCCCTTTTAGCATGGACTCTCGTCCTAAACCTAGCCCTGTAGACTTTGGACTGATTTTGAGTAGTTTACCTGAGTTCTAGAGCCGCTACCAGTGTTGTCCCTTCAAGTTCGTTGTCAGATATACTGCTTTCTGCTCCTCTGTCCATCCATTCATTTCTGCCAGTTGCTCAAATTGTGCTCTATATGCTTCCCACGGTGCCTTCCCATCGAATTCCTGTGGCTTCCTTCGTACTGGATCACCCCTGTTGCTGACATTCATATCTGGGATGTGACTTCTAACAGGACTGAAGATGTCTGCATTAGGGTTTAGCTGCGGGGTCTGGAAGGGGCTTGCTATTGTCTGGGGCTGGTTAAGTCGATGGTTAATGTATCCTCCTTGTGTAAAAGACAATAAATAATCCTTTAATGTATTTAATTCGCTTTGAAATTTACTAATGTTTTCCATTTGTACTTCTTGTCACTGTTGTTGACTTTCCTGTAGTTGCTGCTGACTTTCCTGCAAGTGTTGGAGACTTTCTTCCTGTTTCCTTTCTTGTTCCAGTTGCCACTGCTGTAGTCTTTCTTCTTCTTTCTTTTCTCGTTCTTCTTGTTTCTTTTCTTTTTCTTCCAACAACTGCTGTAATCTCTCTTATTTATTGTGCTGTTCGAGCTGCCATTGTTGCAGATTTTCTTGCAACTGCTCTTGTCTCTCTTCTTGTTTCTTTTCTTTTTCCTCCAATAACTGTTGTAATCTCTTTTCTTGTTTATTTTGTTGTTCGAGCTGCCACTGTTGTAGGTTTTCTTGCAACTGCTGTTGTCTCTCTTCTTGTTTTTTTTCTTGTTTATGTTCTCGTTCTTCTTGTTTCTTTTGCTGTTCTTGTATTGCTGCCATCAAATCTGCTAAGCTGTAGCTTGATGTGCCGCCTATCGTTTCCATCTTCTTCTTTTATTTTATTTGTATTTTCTATCCCACTTCTGACACCAATTTTTACGTCTCTGGTCGTTAGTTAATTTTTCGTAAAAATTCTTTCCGAAGAAACTTTAGCAATACAAGTCCTTTCTTAAACAAAACTGGTTTATTCTTTCTGAATACAACTTTGAAATTCACCTAATTTCCACGGTCACGCTATAGCTTAAACAAACGCTATAATTCACAATGAACGACACACACGCTCGACCCAGAAGTACGTCTCTATTTCTGTCTGTAGTTCAATTACATTCCATTGTTGCCGTCACTTCTTACAAGTCTTATATATATACAAAAAGCGTACATCTCGTTTCTTCGTGAATCTTCTAGAATATCATGACGTGTTACCAGCGTCACGTGACTACCGCTGTCGTAACAGTATCTTAAATGTGGTTGCATTTTTTAAAACGGGAGTTACCGTTTGTAGTAGATGACTTACTTTATAATACACAGTTATGAAACAGTTTTTACTAGCATAAAATTAACGGAACTTATTATTATTGTGTTACGCATATGCTCGTTTGTTAATTTCCGGTATAAATTCTTTCCCAGGAATTTCAACAATACAAGTCCTTTTTAATTAAAACTAGTTTAATCTTTCTCGATAAAACTTTGTAATACACAGAATTTCCACAGTCACTTTAAACATAACAACCTTTATAACACACGCTATAAATCACAGCGATTCACACACTTTACTTACGGTCCCTTTCTATCTATATCGCTGGCTTTCTTTGCCAGGCTTATATACTAAAAAAGAGGGCGTCTAGCAAACATTCGGACATTCGCGGGGTTCCCCGATAATGCTAGAAACTCCAGCGTGCATGCTCCCAGCGTCGCGTGACTTCCGCTGTCGTAACAATTGGTTATAAGAAATTTGTCGTAAATAATTATGAATTTGGATAAGAGTCGAAAACGCTGCTAGGAGAAAGAATATTCAACTGATCACCTACAGGGTCTTTTCGTTGGTTGCTTGTTATTTATAATTAATTATTATTAATTGTATTTTTATTGAAGGCTTATATCAGCTCTCTTGTAGAAGTTATTGAGTTGTTATACAGGTGTGGCATTCTGTAAATTTTACATAATTTAACTGTTAATGTCAGATCTAAAAACCTAGCTTATTATTTTTTAACCTGTGTAATTCAGGGATTGTTAATTAGCGTAATTTTCTGGATCTGAACTTTTCGTTAACAAAGCAATTATTTCTAATTTTGTAAAACTATTTTATTTTTAAATTCTAGCCTAATCTTCTGTACATTCAACAGTTATTACAAAGACTGTACTTTTTTAGGTTCGTTTATACTGTACTATCGTTATATATATTTTATTATAGGTTTTATTACTGTAAGTGTTTCACCTTGGAATCCTTATTATTAGATCTACTCTTAGTGGATTTTAATATTGTGCGTTTCTCTATTATCTGTTTATTAGTATAGATTCTTCATATAAGTTTATTATTATTAGATCTACTCTTAGTGGATTTTAATATTGTGCGTTTCTGTATTATCTGTTTATTAGTATAGATTATTCATATAAGTTTATTATTATTAGATCTACTCTTAATAGATTTTAATATTGTGCGTTTCTGTATTATCTGTTTATTAGTATAGATTCTTCATATAAGTTTATTGAATCTATACTAATAAACAGATAATACAGAAACGCACAATATTAAAATCCACCAAGAGTAGATCTAATAATTTCATATAAGTTTATTAATTATTAGATCTACTCTTAATAGATTTTAATATTGTGCGTTTCTGTATTATCTGTTTATTAGTATAGATTCTTCATATAAGTTTATTATTATTAGATCTACTCTTGGTGGATTTTAATATTGTGCGTTTCTGTATTATCTGTTTATTAGTATAGATTCTTCATATAAGTTTATTATTATTAGATCTACTCTTAATAGATTTTAATATTGTGCGTTTCTGTATTATCTGTTTATTAGTATAGATTCTTCATATAAGTTTATTAGTATAGATTCTTCATATAAGTTTATTATTATTAGATCTACTCTTGGTGGATTTTAATATTGTGTGTTTCTCTGTTATCGGTTTATTAGTATAGATTCTTCTGTATGTTGTGTATTCTTGCTTTTTCTCATTCAGCTTCTACTGCTTCAGTATAATTTACATTTTGAGAACCTGGGTTTCTTGTCTCGTTTGCATTCTTCTATGATAGATTTCGTTGCTCTTTGTGCGTTATCTTCCTTGTCTTGTTATTATGGGTTATTTTTGGTTTCGGTACTTTGGATTTTACCTTTTTGGCTGTATTACTGTAAGGTTTGTGGTTGTATTACTGCAAGGTTTTATTTTCAACTGGTTACTAAATTTACGTATGGTTTTAGATTACGCATCTCTGATCTCCACTTTACGAAATAAATACACAAACTCAAAAACTTAAACTTTTGATCTAAATTTCATCATCATTATTGTTATTATTATTTACAGGTACTTATGAGAAAGTCGAAGAAGAAGAAGAAGAAATCTACGAAGTCATCAACATCCACAAGCTGAAGAGTTCTGTCCCCAACCTCCGTGTGGTCAACCTGTACGGTATAGTGTTTGTTGATGATAGTCACGTGGATGCTTTTAGCAGTAACTGCATTCAGCTGGAGAGTTTGGCCCTCAACTTTTGCTCAAAGTTCACCGGATCAGCTTTGAAATTACTTTGCTCACGCTGCAAGAAACTCAGGAGTCTTCTCATGCAACAGACATGTATGTGCAACAATACACAGATCAATTAATTGTTACTTTTATGATGTAACTACCGCCTAGAAACACAATATTAAAATCCAATAATAATAAACTTATGTGAAGAATCTATACTAATAAATAGACGACTACTTTGTCTGTCGTATCTCAGCCGGATATATTACAACCTCCTAAGTTCTTACAAAAACTAAAAATATACGAATGTAAAGTGTCACATGATTAAAACCTCAGTTTTCATCTCTCTTCTAAACAGTTCAAGAAACGATAAAACGATACAGATCCTAGGACAAATCAATTTGCTGAGAAGTGAATAATTTATTCATTGAAAACCTTTCTATAACTTAATGACAGAGTGCATTATTTGTAGAAAACCTAATTTCTACTGACTAGAAACCAAAAGAACGAAAATTATCCATCAAACTTTCATGGCAAGCCACGAATGTAACGTTTTATTTCTCGAGGTTATTGTACCTCAGTGAAACATTTATTACTGTACCATAAGGGGAGTTTGGTTTGTCTTGATGTTATTGTACCTCAGTGAAACATTTATTACTGTACCATAAGGGAAGGTTGGTTTATCTTGATGTTATTGTACCTCAGTGAAACATTTATTACTGTACCATATGGGGAGGTTGGTTTATCTTGATGTTATTGTACCTCAGTTAAACATTTATTACTGTACCATAAGGGAAGGTTGGTTTATCTTGATGTTATTGTACCTCAGTTAAACATTTATTACTGTACCATAAGGGAAGGTTGGTTTATCTTGATGTTATTGTACCTCAGTTAAACATTTATTACTGTACCATAAGGGGAGTTTGGTTTGTCTTGATGTTATTGTACCTCAGTTAAACATTTATTACTGTACCATAAAGGGAGGTTGGTTTGTCTTGATGTTATTGTACCTCAGTGAAGCAATTTATAACTGTACCATATGGGGAGGTTGGAGTGTCTTGATGTTATTGTACCTCAGTGAAACATTTACTACTGTACCATAAGGGGAGGTTGGAGTGTCTTGATGTTATTGTACCTCAGTGAAACATTTATTACTGTACCATAAGGGGAGGTTGGAGTGTCTTGATGTTATTTTATCTCAAAAAGACCTTATTAGTGTACCATAAAAAAGATGTGGGTGTGTTTTAATTACTGTTATATTTCTTAAGAGTCCGTTATGGTCTGTTGTACAAGGTGGGTGTGTTTTAGTAATTATTGTATCTTTAAAAGACCTTTATGGTCTGTCCTACTGCAAGGTGAGTGTGTTTTTATTATTATTTTATCTTTAAAAGACCTTTATGGTCTGTCGTACTACAAGGTGGGTGTATTTTGATTATTATTTTATATTTAAAAGACCTTTATGGTCTGTCCTACTGCAAGGTGGGTGTGTTTTGATTATCATTGTATCTTTAAAATACCTTTATGGTCTGTGTACTACAAGGTGGGTGTGTTTTGATTATCATTGTATCTTTAAAAGACCTTTATGGTCTGTCCTACTGCAAGGTGGGTGTGTTTTAATTATTATTTTATCTTTAAAAGACCTTTATGGTCTGTCCTACTGCAAGGTGAGTGTGTTTTAATTATCATTGTATCTTTAAAAAACCTTTATGGTCTGTCGTACTACAAGGTGAGTGTGTTTTAATTATTACTTTATCTTTAAAAAACCTTTATGGTCTGTCGTACTACAAGGTGAGTGTGTTTTAATTATTATTTTATCTTTAAAAGACCTTTATGGTCTGTCCTACTGCAAGGTGGGTGTATTTTCATCGTTTTGATACAAATGTTGGAAAGGTTTTATCAAATTAGACCAAAATGCTCAATAGGAGCCTCACCTAATCAATTATCCAGGTTTACATGAACCTAAGAATAACTGAAAAGTTTAAACCAGAGCAAAAGCCGACAATTGTTATTATAATGATATTATACACATTAAAATAGTGTTTATAAGAGGATTCGTGATAACTGAAAGATGAATGAGTATTGAACCAAAACTACAACCCTGGTTTATTTTTAATGGGTGTCTTAAAAAATAAATGCACGAAGTTGGGTTACATTAAGAAACTCTCATCCAGTTTTGGCTATCTTGATATTGTATACGTTTAAACGATTACTTTTAGCATAAAGGTTAATACAGAAATGTCAATACTTGAAAAAACAATGTTCCTTAATCGCTAACCCTGATTTTGATCCATTCAGCCTTGCAGAACGAACACGTAATGGCAGTAGAGTGGGAGAAGACGAATATTCAAGAAATGGATATCACAGCTACCCAGCTTTCTAGAGAAACCCTCATCAACTTATTAACACGAATCTCAGCATTAAGGTACCTGAGTGCTGGCCAGTTAGACGCTTTTACAGACCAGGTAAATTTTCCAATTGGAAAAAACAAATGGAATTTATACGAAACAGTGAGTGTTTGTTAAAATAACGTACCACGCACGTAAGCGGAAGAAGTTCGGCAGAGCTCCCTAGTTTTGTAGTGTAAAAAAAATTACTCTTATATGGTTATAGAACAGCTGCTTATGTTATTTAACGTTTTCTACATAGTCTTCATTCTTCTGATGAAACATTAGCATTTTATGGCTTGAAATAGTCGCATACAATGGTTTCTGTTGACATTTTGTAATAGGAAGTCTTAAAACCGTATTGCCACTGTCAGGTTTTATAGGCCAAATTTTTCCATAAGTGTCTATGACTTGTTGACGATAAATACCAACAACAAACAAATAGCAACACAGTTCACTTGTTTTAAAATAATATATTGACTAAGTCAAATGTTTGTTGACTTTTCATTGGATGTTTGTGGATTTTATGTGAACAGCCATGCAATTGTTCAAGCTATATTTCATGCAAAATTGCTTCCAGATATAATTTCAAAGCACCTGTTTTTTACAAATTTTCTGGGGTGTACGGCCCCAGACCCCCGTAGCGTTAGCATGCTGATTTTATTTGCACTGTTACGTCTCTGTTCGTTAATTAATTTTCCGTAAATTCTTTCCGACTAAACTTTAGCGACACAAGTCCTTTCTTAAATAAAACTGGTTTATTCTTTCCGAATACAACTTTACGATACACTTAATTTCAACAGTAGCTCTATAACAAACGCTATGAGCTCACGTCTCACGTGGCCAACAATATTCTCCGCATACATTCAATCATTACACTGTTCCCGTCACGTTGGGAACATCTTATATATACCAGACAACCCCCAATCTAGTAGTCTCCCGACAATTCACGAAGGAACAATTATTTCTAGAAGGA